TATGTATGTATGTATGTATTTATCTGCGAGGAATGGTAAATGTGGGATAGCTGTGTGGGTATTATATTATGTGGGTATTATGAATGGAATTGGGTCAGTCAGCAATCGACTGGAAGTGATTGATCAATCAATTAATTAATTAATTAATTAATAATTATTAAATAGATTGTCGTATTAGCAGCGTCTTGGGTAATAAATCTTTTTATCATGTAATTTCCTCTCAAAAGTTACTAAATAAATGTCGAGACAGACAGTAGGAAAACTGTTAATCATTAATCATTATTCATATCGAATCAGCAATAATCCTCCTAGTCCTTCTGCGAGAACTTACGCACAATCTTTCGCACTCCAACTTTTCCGTTGGAATGTTGTTTTCCGATTCGATTCAACAATTAAATATTTACAAATTAGCTTCCATCGATTTCTACTTTGATTTCTGGTCGAGCAGCGCCAAAAGCAAATCAGAGCAGATCGCAAAAGGAAGTGGAAACAAACCGCAAACAAAACTTTGGCGGACGTGGAAGTATACATATCTCCAGCGGATTCCAGGGTATTTGCACACGAAACAAGCCACTGAGCCAACGCCAACGAGCTGGCAAGCGCGCGGGCGGTGAGGGCAGGGCAGGGCAGACCATCCGAATAACGAAAACCGAACTGGAAACGATGCTTGATGATGACCTCATCATTTGCAGGCCGGCCCGAGGATTGTTTACTGTACGACGCGCGAGTACGAGTCGGCCGGCGGCCTGCTGCCATCCATGCTCCATGCTTTCCATGCTGTCATGCTGTTCGGTGGGCCTTGGGGTCTCTGGCAATGTATTGCCACCGCCACCGCCGCCGACCACGCGCACCACAAAAAATGTACTGTGTGTGTGGGGGGGGAAGGGGTGGGACTTATTGATTTTCTGCTGCTCAAAAAGGATTTCGGTGGGACATGCAACCATCAGCCCAAAAGGCAAATGACATCAGACACGAGTGGAGAGTGGAGAGCGGGGAGCGGAGAGCCGAAACCACACAAAGGATTGTTATTGCTGTTCCGCTTTTGGGGAATTGGATTAAAAGTGGAACCAAGAGCAAGAGAGAGCGAAAAGAGCAAAGAGAACGCCGAACGCCGAACGCTGAACGCAAGCGAGAAATGACGCAATCGCCAGCTGTTTGGCAAAGTCAACACAGAACCATGCTGGAGAGTGTTTTGAGACTGTTGCGAGGAGGTGAGCCGGCCGCGGGTCTGGCGGGATACGGGGGCGGGCAGGGCGGGCAGGGCAGCATCTAAAAATGTGCCCCCCAGAACATATCAAACGAAACGAGAAACAAATCCACATGGCAAAAGCTCCGGGGAAAAAGATACAGTCCGCGATATATCAATACACAAATATCCACGCACGCAACACATATACATACATACATACATACTATATACTATGTATATCATACATATATTTACTCAATTGGAATACACAAATTTGTTGTTTATTTTTAATCTTTGAGTTGTGTTTTTTTTTTTGTTATTTTTGAATATTTTTTGGGTGTTCCATTTGAATTATAACAAATGCCAGGCAATTGCACAAAAATATCAACATAAATATCATCAAATAAGAGCAGGAGAGGAGGGGCAGGCCGGATGATAGAAGGGGAGGAGCGGAGCGGAGCGGAGCGCAAAAGATATCGATGATATCACTTTGTTATGTCTGGGGGGGGGGAGCACAGAAATCAAAGAGGACAGGACATATAACAGGGAGCAAAGGGGAAACACAATATACGGAAAACTGATTCCATAACTGATCGGAACTGATGGGTCGGTCGATAAATGAATCGTTTCCCCGAGCCATTTAAGTGTTTTTTCCGCAAGGTAACGATATCGTGCCATCAATCAAATGTCCATACATATTTATGTACATTTGTATATATACTCTTCTTCTGTCTGCTTGATTTGATATCAAATCTCTTTTGATGATTTATCGATGGAAAATTGCATTTACTCTTTATATTTCGACCGAAAAGAGCGAAAAAAACCCAGAGAACTCCGAGTACTGAACCTGACGAACCATGACCAAAGCGGCGTGAGTGTCCCCCCCGAGTGATTCAGGCACACCGCGCGCCACTCCGCACCCCCCTGCTAAGGGGTCAGCTGCTTGAATAATGAACTGTTTTAATTATGCTCGACATTCTCCATTGTTTGCCATATTATAAATTAGGTTATATACGGGAGGGGTGGGGCGGGGCGGAACACTGGATTGAACTTCAATTCAGTGTGGCCTCCGTACTTGAATTCCAAGTTCTTTTTTTATCGCTTTCAATTGTAGCGCTTGTCCTCGCTGAAAATGATCCATATAAATGCGGGGTTAGAAGGGGATGGGGATGGGAATGGGAATGGGAGGGTGGGTGTGAGGCATCAATTGATAATATGTACATATGTATATGCATATGTATGTGTGCACAGGCAATATCAGTGAGACAGGAATCAGGAGTCAAAGAATCAAGCCAATTAAATGTTTCCGAATAATTTACACAAATATATTTAATGCTATGACATCATCAGGGTCCTCTAATATGATTGCACTTGACAACCTTCGCGATAGGCATGGCCATGGCTGCGATTGCATATCAGCGAGACGTTTCTTAGCATACAGTGGAACTTCTATGACACGAACCTTCACACTACACCTGCCTCCAATGCCAACACCAATAACTCTTCGCATCGGCATAGGACGAAAGCGGAAACCAAACATTGAAATAAAATTGCCATCGAAGGTGGCACAGACCGAATCCCAACCAAGTTGGAGTGGCAACCGCCAACCGAGTTTTAAGTTTATTCAGCTACGTACCCTCCTCCGGGAGACAATCCTACCATTCAGGTGAATCACTTTGCCAGGGCAGTAGTGAGTGAAGACTTTCAAAATGAAGCTGAGATAAAATGCTGCCGCTTTTAGCTGGAACCCTCAAGCTGCTTAATGCTGAAAGGGGGGCATCACAGTCATCTTTTAGGTGATCCTCACCGTACTTCAATAAATATTTTGAGCGCGCCTAATGCAAGCTTGAGCTCTTCTATCTGTCTCTCGCCGCTTTCCCTTGTCTGTGCGTGTGTGTGTGTGTGTGTGTGTGTCTATGAGTGGAGTGTTCACTCTCGCTCTTTCTCTCTCACACTCTTGGGAGAGGGCTTTTTTATGACTAAGCTAAGCAGAAGCTGCAGAATATTTCTCAAGATCATTTTGCTCTCTCTGTCTCTCTTTGAACACACAGCTCCTCCACACCACACCTTCCCGCGGGGCAAGCGGCAAGGGCATTCATTAACCCAACCATCCAACTGGCAACTGGTAGGGTAATTTTTTAGGTCGGATTGGGGCGGAGGTATTTGGCTGTCAACTGCGATGCTGACGTTGACGTCGACGTCGACGTAGACGTCTCTGCTGGGGCGTAGCGGGTACGCAGTATTAACAATAATGACGTCTGCCGTCTGCCAGCGATGACCGCATGGGCGGCGTTGCCACAGAAGCACGCACAAAAGAATTCGAGAGAGAAATCGGTTTGGTTAATTTTAGTTTAAATTATTTTTCAGATTTATTCTCATATAATTGATACATGGAGAAAAGATAGAGAGCGACAGAGAGAGAGAGAGAGAGAGCGGGAGAGAGATAGATACATATGTATCTTCGCTGTCTGCGTGGTGAATGATCATGACTACGATGATGATGATGGCATGGCAACATTGATGTCAGCATCTGCATCTGCCCCACCTTAGTGAACGCTCACACACACACACTCTCTCGCAGCACACACACACACACACACGCACTAATACCAGTGCACAACTTTAATTCGCGCTCATTGTCTGCCTTTTTGTATTCTCCTCCTCTGCCTGCTCTTCTACCATTCAACATCTCTTTCTAGCTAGCAAAACCTGTTTTGTGTGTGTTTGAGCTCAATCGCAAGTCTCACTCAACTTGGTTGATTTTTTGTTGTATTTCGTATTCATTCAAATTGTACGTTAGCCAATCTGGGATTTATGGAAAACTTACCTTTGGAAAAACGTTAAGAAAAGTTGATTTTCTCTGGGGTCTAGCAGCAAACGCAACAGCAACAACAACAACAACAACAACAACAACAACCGTATTGTGCTCAAAACTCCGACTCTGACTCCAACTTTGACTCAACCACCGCACCGCAACCAGACCAGGTAAGCGGCAAGAGAGAAAGAGCGAGAGAGAGAGAGAGAGCCAGGCCAGAGGAGCGAACGAAGCGAGAACCAAGCGCCGAAACGAACTCAAAACTCGATTACGAAGTTTTGGCTTCGTTGTACGGTACGGTATGGTACATAATGCAATACATACAAAAACAACAAAATGTAACAAAAAGTGATGAAAAACAGCAGAATAATTTTCAACAAGCTGCTGCTATTGCCTCCGAGCGGGACTCTCTCGAGTTGAGCTCTTTTTGTTTCGTACAGCCAAACTTTAATTAATTTCGTTTTTGTTTCAAAAGTTGTTTTTGCTGTTGCTGTTGCTTTTCCTTTCGCTGCTTTCATTGGCGTCCTATGTGTGTATGTTGCCTCTTCTCCTTTCTTGTTGTCATCATGTGCTTCGCGTTAATTCCGCATAACTATTTTCTTTTTTACAATTCGTATTTGTTTCAATTCAACTATTTTGGGCGCGGCACAAAGTGAAAAATTTAGAAGAAAAAAAAAGCATCTTTTGTTTGGTTTTGCAATTTAGCAGCCAATTGTTGGATTGGAATCTCTGTATGTCTCTTTTTCGACCGCCCATTCTAAACAATTCGCACACACATCCAAATCTATTGATGGACACACACACACACACACACAGAGAGGGAACGGAGGAGCACAAATAGCCACAGGAAAAAAAAGGAAGGAAAATTTAAAAAAGCCAAGTAAATAGGAAACTTTTCTATGCCAACATTTCTATGAACACGGCCGCGGCGACAGTCAGTCGGACTCTCTCGCTCGGTACCCGGCACTCTTCTGACTCTTACACACACACACGTACCGCAAAGACACAACCGGGCGCAACGAAAAAAAATTAGTGTATGAATTTTAGGATTGTTGATACTAGATTGATATATCGATATAGGTGATATTTTTTATTTTTGATACGATAATATCGGTACGATATTTTTGTCACCGACTATGTCAAGAATCGATATATGTTTTGTTTGCGTCGCAAGGATAAGGTATGAGGCGTGACGAATGACGTCACAAAAATTCAGAGCTTTCAAGAAAAATACTCACCTCACCACATAACTCACCGTGGGGGATTTTAATACTGGGGCCATACCTTGCCATGACCCAGTCGAAAGAGAGCACTCAAAACGCTCTCCGGACTCATTTTTACGTTTCTTATAGCCTTTTTACACTGGGCGCGTCTGCTATCGATATCGGCATAGACGCAATGAAGCAGAAAAGGCGTTTACATTGGAAGACGTGCGTCTTGAATTTGGATTTGGGTGCTTGATGACAAGGAAAGAAACACAAATTTTGAGAAATCAACAGAATTATGCAAGACGACAAGAAAATGGACGAAAGAGAATTGATTCTTATATTTATTTATTATTTTCAGACATTTCTTTGTAGAGCTTGTGGGAGTTCTTCTTAAAATTATGAAAACCACCGAAGTTCGTCTCCAGCAGTGTCATAATGGCATCAGGGGATCACAAAAATGTCGTATGATAATAATACAATGAGTTTTATGTAAGACAACCACAGCGCCAAAATTTGATTTTTTAACTACAAGTTTTTGTTGTTCTTAGAGGTGATAGTTGCGCTGATAGGCAGAAAAGAGCAAAAATTAGCAAAAGCAATCGAATATATCGAATAGACGCACATGAATCAGAAACTGACGCAACTTTTTGCCACCACTAGGGCCCTATGCTTAACCTATGTAAAAAAAACTGCGTCTCCGGCAAGACGCAAAGAAGCATGACGCAGCCCCAATGTAAACAGCCTATTAGGGCTAGAGGTTTCAAACCATCGAGGGAACTATCGATAGTATCGATGTTTTGCTGCTACCCGCTACTATCGATGGTTTTGAGACTATCATGATAGTATCGAGCTACAGTCGTTGCGCTTTTAATATGTTTGGATTGTCTGCTATAAGATACGAAGACACATTTGTAAACGAATCGACAGGTGGCATCTAATTTTTACAATGGAAAAGTTCCTAAAAGGTTTCAATGGTTTTTTTATAATTATTTGAGCCCGATACTATTACGATAGTATCGACTGTTTTTTTTTTTAACATTCAACGTTGATATTCCTCGAATTTGATATTCCGTTTAATATTACTAGCTAGTTGGCCCTCTCAGCCTTAAACAAATAATTTTATCCGATAGATACACAAACTTTCTACAAGATTGGAAAGTTTTCAGAAGTCCTTTTTATTGGATTATTTACATATCTTAAGGTTCAAACAAAAACAACATAAAACGAATGTGACGTCGATTTTGTGGCGCTGCCAGACTCGTGCAATTCGTAGTTGCTGCGGGCTGCCATACCACGATATTTTGTGACATGATATTCCTCGATTTTGATATTCCGTTTAATATTAGTAGCTAATTGGCTCTCTCAGCCCTAAACAAATAACTTTATGCAATTCATCAATAAATTTTGTTCAGGATTGGATAGTTTCCAGAACTATTTTTAATGGGATTGTTTAGATAATAGGGTTCAAACAAAAACGGCCACAGCATAAAACGTAAATTTTGACTAAATCTGACGTCATTGTTGCTGGTCAACCAAGGTTCTTTTTGTGCGTATGGACTTTTTTATACCTTATTTTCTTTAATTGATGTTAAATTTGTTGTTCCAACCTCTATGAAACATTAATAATGCAGTTTTCATAAATTGAGATGTTTTTTACCTATGAATGCATATGTTTTGTGTTTTATATATACATTTATCCCGGTTCTGATACCTATTATTTGTACCCGCGAGCTGCAAAATTTCGTTTATAACTTTATAACAGAGACTGAGTAGTTTCGGTATTAATTGGAGCATGAAATTACAAACAATATCTCTATTCTATAATATCCATTTTCCCAAGGTATGCAGATTGATGTACAGTCGAGTACCGCCCAGAGACGGTGGCGCCACAGTTGAAATTCCCGTTGCGCCTGTTTTTGGAACTCTGAACTTGGCAACATGTCAAAAATGTAAATTTTCATACATGGTAACTACGCGTTTGCTACATGTCAACAACATATTTATGTTCACACCGAAAACCCAGTATTTACCTCTATTTTCAGGCCACGACTTCGGCAGACAGCCGCCAGATGTCGCCGGTTGGCGCCGCGAGACTGTTACCAGTATTCGTGTGGGCGTTGCACATGAAACAGAATCCACAGCTGCCATTGGTTCAAGCCCCCCGAACCGGCCAAATGTTCGCCCAAAAGATGTTCCAGGGTCCAAAGCGTTATGGCCACGCCCACACACCCCCCACAACCCATCAGGCTGCTGACGCTGGCTGCGCTGCTCTGTTCTGGCGCTGTGGTTCCCCCATTTTGGGTTGAGTGGATGCTAGCGCTTACTCTTTCGCTCTTTAGCTGCTTCTGCTGCAGATGTTGCTGTGGGGGGGCTGAGTGGGTACCGCTCCGCTCGCTCCGCGCCACGAGCATGCATGTCCGTCCGAGGCGTCGTGGCTGTCGGTCGGTGTCCTGTTTGTTTGTGCTCCGTTTGTCGTATAAGTGATGAGTCAATTAACCCAACATTCCTGGAGGCCACATATTGCTTTAATTAAACAGACAAACAGGAATTGTTGCAACAGCAGCAACAGCACTACTTTTCGCCACCATTTTGATGCCACACTGCCTCTGTCCCTGCCCCTGCCCCTGCCCTAACACAACTCTCTTCTTCCTGCTGCTGCTGTTTCTATTTGTGACTTTTGTGGGGATTTTCTACCATTTAAATGGCAAATAAATATTTGCATTTATTTCGATTACACACATGTACATGTACACGCACACACACACACACACACACTTTCAACCTTGAAAGCAGGGGTTGGGGGTCTGTTGCTTCTCTTAATTAAACTTTAATTACTTGTAATTAATCAGGCTGATTGATGTGTGTCTCCTTTCCTTTCCTTTCCTTTCGTTTTGTTTCATTTCTTTTTTTTCCACTATTAGCAGAATATAAAAAATAAATGTCTGCTGCTGTGTTTCTCTATTGTTTCTATGGCTACAAAATAATATTTATTATAATGTATAAATTTAAATTTTATGTATGCATGTACATATGTTCATGCATTTGTACGTACATATGTATGTATGTATATTTTTATAAATAATTAATGTATGTACATATAGTGAGTTCTGGATATTCTGCCTGCATCTGTCCAATGAATGAATATTCATGCATATTTTTGTGCCCTTTCAGTGGGTATTAACTGTTTTTTTTTTTTGTTGTAGAAAAAAACATGTAATGTGGTTTTTTTTTATGGGAACTTCAAGCTTATTAAATAAATAATTTTTCCTGCTAAAAATCTATATTAAGTATATTCCCGTTTAAATAATATCTTTCCATTACATACAATTCTGGTCTTCCAAACGTGTTCCCCAGTAAGCAACTGATGAACTGAATTTTGATGGAATAATATAAAAAAAATGGTATTGCATCTCCATAGAAAATAACGAAACAAAAGAATATAAATAGTGCAAAGATTATATACTTCAAAATTCTTGAAACTAGAATCCATTTAAGGCGGCGGGGCGCGGGGGGGCCCGCCGGGGGAAAAAATAAAACATTCGCATGAATTCTATAATATTTTGAAAACTATTTTTCAATTACAAATTAAGTTTTTAATAGAATTCCCCAAATGCAAAAATTAAATTCTCCAAAAATGTCTGAAAAGATGTCATTTCTCATGTCTACAGTTTGCTTATTAAACTCTTAATATTTGGTACAAATGACAGCCCAAAATCACACAATAAAAACAATATCAGAGCATGAATTTATATATTCAAAGAGAAATTTGCATTTGAGAACTGTACAAAATGCATAACACTCCCAAAAGTATATACACGAAAAAACATTTCAAAAGACTTTCTGCCCAACATTATTTTTGCATTTTTGGGAGCCATATCTTCTGTCTGGAACATCCAAAATTACAAATTTCGAGTGACAAATTAGGGACACTAATAATCCAAATAATTTAAAGGAAAGCAAGAGAAAACCAGCGGGAAAAGGAAAGGAGATGTGGCTGCTGACTGATAATGAAGATGATTGCAATTTGCAATACTGTTGGGCAATGGCAATGATGATGATGATTGGATGGACAATGGTCGAATGTGAACCGCGACATATGCACACAGGGGGGTACAACATGTAGAGGGTATAATAGTGCAGGGTAGGTGCTGGTGCTGGTGCTGGTGGTGGGGGGTGGTTTGTGTGCATGCAAATTTGCTTTGGCGAAATGCAATTGAAAGGAAAGCGAAACAAAAGCGAGAAGCGATCGAGTGTGAGTGAGTGAGTCCTGTCTCTATCTGTATCTGTATCTTTGTCTCTGTCTCTGTTTCTGTTTCTGTCTCCTTCCCTTGCCTCTAGTCCTAGTGCTCTGGTCTGTGTCGTCCTGTGTCTCTAAAGGTTATGTGTGTGTTCCTGTGTGACAATGGACAATGAGTGGCGGGAACAATGGACCGCTACTGAAAACAAATTTTGCATGCAAAACGCAACAAACAAAAATAGAATTTCGAATTCTAAAAGTGGAGATGCACAGCAGCAAAAGGAATGGAAATGGAAATGGAAAATACTACTCGCATGTGTTTTCCACTCAATAAAGGATTTCCACTTGAATGTTTTGTCGGTAGAAACAATACGAACAGAAAAAAAAAAAAACAGAAGCTGCAAAACGAATTTTTATTTTCCATTTTTTTCCACCTCCACCTCCCCCTCCCCATCGCCCACCAGTTATACATAAGCCCCACCTCAGTGGCAGGTGACTTGGAGGGGCAGCAAGTTGCCCAAGATTCCACTTGCTGCACGAAAACGAAACACAAGTACAGTGCGCTTCATGGCTGTAGAGCGCTTATGTGGTAAGTGGCCCTGTAATCACAAGAAACAAACAAACTTTCAAGGACG